ACTTTTACAGAGCTCCCCTGCCGATGTTCGCCTATTGAATAGGCGAAAATCAGCAGGGGTCTACAATTTCAGACCTCTACGAATCTCGTCATGCTGGACCTTAATAACCAGTAGATTGAATTAGTGTATTTGCTTTAAATTAGAAGCCCGGGAAAGGTTTATGCAAGGGGCACTGTCAGAAAGGCACACCTTTTTGTCGCTTCAGGTATGAAAGGATAGGGATTTCCTGAGTTGAAGTATATGAGAGGGTAGACTATTTGTCATTTCGTTCTGTAAAAAGACTAACAGAAAAAAATTTGTGACTGTAAAATTGTCAAAAAAAATTAACTGGTTTCTGATTCCTTTATGACAGTGCATATAAAACAGTTAACAGGAAAGATGCATGTAAGGGGTTGGATCTCTGGGCGGAGTCTCACAGCGTGTACAAAATTTTATTGTAACAATGTACTGTTACAGTTGAGATTGGAAATTTACTTTAGTCACAAAACGAATCAAACATATAGGAAATGTCACATGCACATCACCTTTGACTGTCAGCAAGTGTTATGCAGTTCACTATATTTGCTCCCCTTGCAAATATGGATAATTATGATGCAAATGTGCAAATTTATGACACAGCCAAATGTCTAGAAATTTATTGTTTTTGCTCTTAAGGCAAATACGAGTAAACCACATGCGAAAGTGTTCTTTTGCTATCCTGGAAAAACAAGAGCAAACACCACTGCAAATTAGGGGTTTTGCAATATTTTTGCCTGCATTTGAAGTACAGTGAAAACTGTCATTTTTGCCAAGGATGTAAATTTGAGTAAATTGGTAGAAATGTCAAAGATTTGCCCATGCTGCAAATATGTATCAAATTTGTATCAAACCATTACATTTACTTGATTTTTGCGTATCAATACCTATCTAGCAAATATATGTATTTGCCCACACTTTAGCCGCCAGCGCAAATGTAATGCAAATTTGGAGCTCCAAATTTACCACATATTTGCACCTTTCGCAAACATTAGTAAATCCGTTTTCTCGTCCAGTGAAGGAAGCCACTTGGAGTGGACAGCTTCCCCGTGCATTTTGAAACTCATTATTGCACTCATTATTTTGGCTTTATAGTAATTATTGGGTGATAAGTAGTTATTCTGGATAATTAAATGTTTTTATGATATTTATTCTAATGCAATATACACTGTATGTTGCAGATAGTCTGGCTGCCAATGAAACCCATTCTTTGTGGTTTTTAATTTTTGTTAAAAGTACCAGTTGCAGTGTTGCTGTTAACGTTGTTTACTAGTTAATGTTGGTAACAGTTAAAGTTTTAACACTACTACTACATGTAAATGCACTTTTTCATTTTATTATAGAATCATTATCCAAGGCCATAAGACCCATACTCTAATTTTATTGTGGGCACAAATAATTTTATAGAATATTACAAAGATGCCAAATTCTAATATTTATATTTTCATTATAAATTTTATATGTTGAAAAGTTTAATATTCAAACTGTTTATGGATAATTAAACGTATTTATGATATTCATTATAATACAGGATACACTCTATGTTGCAGGTAGAATGACTGCCAATGAAAACCATACTTTGTGGTTCTTAATTTTTGTTAAATGTACCGGTGGCAGTGTTGCTGTTTATGTCGTTGACAGTTAAAGTTATATACCACTTACTACTACGCGTGAATGCACTTTTTCATTGTATTATAGAATTCTTATTCAAGGCGGTAAGACCCATCCTCTAATTTTTATTGTGAGCACAAATAATTTTATAGAATATTTAGAAAGCTACCAAATTCTAATATTTATTCATTACAAATTTTATTTTATTATTTTTATTATAATACAGTATACAGTGTATGTTGTAGGTACACTAGCTGCAATTTAAAACAAAAACAAGGTTCTAACTGTGTCCTTTCAATAAGAAGAAAGTGATTTTTGTTTATTCATATTGTGCCTGGTAGTATTGTTGATTTCTGAAACTCAGACTTTCTGAAAAAGTCACAATTGGACCTTCCTTCTGCATGAATTTTTTTTTCTTTACCTTCTTCTTTGCATGAATTTTTTTTGGTGTTTTCCCCAACCCCCCATCCCCCCCATCACTTTTCTAATGGTCCGTCCCTAATGGCGCTCTTTCCAAAAAGTTTGGCCTCGAATGTGGGGTGCCGAATGAGGTTCATTCCTTGGTCCCCCTGCTTTTTACTATCTATGCCAGCAAACTTTTCAGTATTATCAAATCTCACCTGCCGCCTGCGCACTCGTACGTAGATGATACTCAATTATACTTTTCGTCTCGTCCATTAGAAAGTACGTGTGAAGCTGAGGCGCTAGATGCTATGGAGAAATGCATCGCTAATGTTCGTTCATGGATGATAAATGATAAGTTGATGTTGAACGATGATAAGACTGAGTTTCTGATGATCGGCACAAGCAAGCAGCTATTTAGAGTGTCTGTTAGGGTTGGTGACGTTGACGTAATTCCCGTATACTCGGTGAAAAATCTGGGCTCCTGGTTCGACTCGCACATGATATGGTAACGCATATAACAAAGACCTGTGGTAGTGCATTCTTTTACCTGTATAATATCCGCCACATACGGAAATACCTCACTAGTGAATGTACCGAGAAACTGATTCATGCATTTATAACCAGTAGGTTAGACTATTGCAACAGTCTCCTCTATGGAGTTCCCGACCATCACATGCAAAAATTTCAACGTGTCATGAATGCCAGTAGAGCACGATTGATCTTCTGCACACCTAAACACTGTCATATTACGCCGTCTCCTTGAACAACTTCACTGGTTGCCTATCCGCCTACGTATTGAGTTTAAAATCCTTTTGATCACCTTAAAAGTGCTCCAGGGCTCAGCTCCTAAATATCTCATTGATTTAATTTGTGTTTTACCGCATCCCATTATGATTTACCCCATGGGGGACGGCGGGGCTAAAGTGCAGGTCACAGGTCACAGGTCAGGTCATAGGCCAAGGCCACAGGTCAGGTCACAGGTCACAGGTTACAGGTCAGGTTACAGGCCACAGGTCACAGGCCACAGATCAGGTCAAAGGTCACAAAAAACAATAGGACACTGGAAAAAACTGTTCTGGACTGACGTTTTACTATACAAAAATAAAATAAGCCAAGGAACCTTGATGGTATTTTTGTCCTTTAAACAATATTAAATTCCACACATGGAATACTATTTTCATGCTGATCATACGGCATATCCAAAGTTCGTAACGAAATCACAAAGGTGTGCAAAATCATGTGATTTGTATGAAAAACAAATCACATGTTTTTCACTGAAAACGAAGTGTTGTCGTCAGTATTAGAATGTCATCTCCAAATAAACCGTGCAGCGAAGATAACTTGGAGCGAGTCATTGAAATGCAGCACTGTGATGCTTTGATACACAGCAGCAGTTTACAGAGTCATAGATTCAAGTTGTAATGGCGGAATGCTCCCTCCTAAGGGGGGTAAGGCCTACAAGGCAAAGCCAACAGAGGTTTTTCAAGCTGTTGTGCAATAGAACGTGAGAAAATGGAAAGCTCTTGGGAGAAGAGCCGAGAAATATGGTCCAGCAACTATTTGAGAGGCCCAAATAGCAGTGTCTGAAGTTCTTAGCCGACTACACTTTAACACAGCAGTATTTTGTGACTGGTACGAAGCGCGAGCAGCAGGCCGCTATCTTCGAAAGAGATGGAAGACCGATCTAGTGGCAAGAAGAGTTTAGGACGAGGAAAGTCTGAAGAAAGTTGCCGTATTTTAGTGGTCAAATAAGTTTTAGACTGTCCTTACGTTGTTCTTCCGTTTTATCGTCGAATGCTTTTCAAAACATCCACAAACACGTCATGATATTCTTAATGCAACAACCCTTCGTTTTGAGATTCGTTTTTCTAACAAATCACGTGATTTTGCGTACCTTTGTGATTTCATTACCAACTTTGGTTACGCTGTAACGCAAGTCCTCCTTGCGTGATAAACATGAATATATTTTCTCATGTGTGGGATTTGGTGAAGTTCAGAACAGAAAAAATATAATTGAGGTTCCTTGGCTTGTTTTACTTTTGTATAATAAAATGTCAATCAAGAACAGTTTTGTCCAGTGTCCTATTGTTTTTGTGTGTGACCTGTGATCTGACCTGTGACCTGAGCTGTGACCTGTGACCTTTAGCCCCGCCGCACCAAAAGTGATTTTGAACAGAAAGTTAAGACATTTTTATTTAGCAAGGCGTTTTGTTAGAACAATTAGTATATATTTAGATTTTTATATAGTTTTTCTGCGAAGTACTTTTCTTATAGCCAATTAATTGTAAATAGTGCATTTTTTTTATAGAAAATGCGCAATATAAATGTTAAATGTTATTATTATTATTATTATTATTATTATTATTATTATTATTATTACTCTAGCTAACACAAACTGTTTTAATATTTTTTACATGTATTCATAGGCACACAGTCTTCTAACACCCCTTCAGGTATGATTTACTTACTGTTAATAATATGGTATCCTTTTAAAACATTAATTGATAATTTTAATAACTATTGCAAAACAGCTGGATCCACAGTCTAGGATTTAAGGGTGCGTTCTCTGGGCAAATCTGAATAAGGATCAGTGATCCTACAATAGATTACTCGGATCATATCACGCCAAAGGAACAGACCAATCCACTCTGGGAATTAAGGATTCATTCGTTCATTAGATACCATGACTACTCTGACTGATCTCAAATCACTGATCCTGATCCGGATCATCCCAAAAGTAAACACACCCTAACTAAACATTCATCGTGATTTTAAGTAAATTTGTTCATTATTGTACATTGTATGACTAACCATGAAAAGGTAAAATACCTTTTTAAAATGTCACATGGTTTACAATAGAACAATATAGTTTTAAACAGTAGTTTAAATAGTAGTTCTTTCGATTTTGTTATTGTCATGAGATTCTTTTAACTGTACATTAACAGTTGTTTGTGCATCTTTATTAATTTTTACATGCAGATTGTACCACTGCCTCCAGTTTCCTTGGCATGACAAACAGGAAAATTCGTGACACTGACATCACAGCATCCTCAGAATTAGATTTAAATTCCTCAGCATCAAATGCAAGACTAAATAACACAAAATCTTGGGTTGCTGATACAAATGATACACAACCTTGGATACAAGTGAATTTGGGAAAAATTATGAACATTACCTCAATCAGTACTCAAGGCTTTCCAGGTTCTGGCTTTGTTTCATCATTTTACTTCAGTTATAATGTCAGTGAAATGGAGTGGTTGAACTATACCATTCATGGAGGGTTAGTTAAGGTAATCATTTGTAAAATAACTGTTGAAAGTTTCCATGTGTGCTACATGATATAATAAATTCTGCCGAGAGCAACTCTAGCTTCATTAGTGCTCTCTAACTTTCCGTAGTGCATCCATAACTCGATATAAGCACGGCCAAAAGCATGAGCAAATTCTTTCATAACACAGCTGACAAAAATGCTTGCTTTTTGATTAACTGCAAAATTCTCGTAACATGCAAAACAGAAAAACCAGAAAAACAAACGCTTCTATTGGCTCAAGAGATACAAACAGGCCATGATTGTCTAGTTTGAAAGAAAATTCTTTCTGTAAAACTGGGTCGCTGAGAAAGAAAATTTGCTTATTTATTCATTAACGATCAATGGAAACTAAGCCGAAACAAAAGTAAAAGCAGAGTCCACCAAAAGTTAAAATAGTCATATGTTCGTAAAAGGTCGTGGAGTATGGTTTGGATTCCCTAAAAAGATGATTTATGTTTTGCTCGGCAAAATCCGGAAAACTTGTTTTTTAGTACCGACGACTGTCGTCCTACTTTATTTTTATTCATTTACTAACAATGGCTGGTCAATGGCTTCTTGAGAATACCTGCTGGCAGCAGTGGTTTTTGTGAGTAATACATTTATGTCTTCTTGTGTAATTTGTCTTGTTATTGCAAGAGAAATTTTCCTTCTTCAGTCGGATTGTTCGGTAATAACAAAAGTGCATGAATAATTTTTATTTTTGCTATTGAGCTTACTTTATAAGCTTATACATGTAATTATGGTGTTTTGTACAGGATAAACAAACACTAAAAATAAAGGACACTTTATACAAATTGGATATTTCTTTTCCACCTGACTGTCAGTCCTTATGGCAGACTTTTCAACGAACAGGCTGTATTATTGATTTGCAAAACATCTTCACCGCTCTTGCTGTTGGTTTGAGTGGCTAGAAGCTTAATTACAAATGCTATGCTAGAAAGTTTTTCATCATTGCCGTCAATTTTTGGGTACTTAGTACTTAGGAAAAGACACTAAAAACACACCTGAACACTTCATCATGAAAAAAATCTTTATACAGTGTATGCAGGGTCTGCATAAATAAAGATTTTGTTCATAGTGGCTCAATAGGTCTTACATAGGGCAAGCAAGTACGCTATGTTATAATTAAACTTTTAGTATAAAGACAGAAAGTCAAATGTTACTTTAGTTTCAGTACTGTTACATTTAATTTAGTGATCCTCAATGAGTGAAGGTGGAGATCGTATACTCCACTATGCATCTTACTTTCTATGCTATGTATTTTCAAGCTGTACTTGTAGTATATTTGTCTTGGTCTCTGTCTGTGGTCTTAGGTTTTCTGGGTTCAGAAGACTAAAATATTATATCCTGTAGCTTATAATGGAACATACATTGTGAATGTTTCTTTAGGTTTTTCAGGGTAATACAAATGATAATGGTACTAAGAGAGTGTTGGTCAATCCCTTGGTGACAGCCCAGTACATAAGATTACATCCAACAAACTGCTCTGGACACTGTGCACTTAGAATGGAGTTTTATGGCTGTAAATCAGGTATTATTTAATCGGTCAGTGTAAAACGCAGACTGCGGACTATTGTTTTCACCATGCAAATGAGTATGTGGCAACAATAATCCCATTGTTTTGTAACCCTAAAAACAATAGTCTGCAGTGAGTCCGCAGTGTACATTTTACACTGTCCCATTATTTGAAGCCGTAATTGGTTAAGCCTAATTATGATCTGAAGATTATGGAGATTCAGTGTGGAGGAGAGTGTTTCATGTACAGTGTACTAGAAATACATGTATCGCAGAATCTCACGATGCTCGGGGGTAGAGGCTCGTAAGTGTAACCGGGGAGAGTGGGTTTCAGAGATAACTCAATCTCCTTTTGGATGGACTAAAGTTGAACCGAGTGCCCTGGCTTTAAATAGGATGTGGGATTCAAATGGGGTTGCTGTTGTATTAAGGCAGCGTAGGCAAAGTTGTGAAGGTGTCGTGTTCACCCTATTTGATCGTCCTTCATGTGTAGTTGTTGTCAGAAGGAAATGCAGGTGTGACAGTGGATGACTGCAGGCTAATATGTGGTGGGATTTGCTAAAATAACAGCTAATGTAACTTGTGCCATCTCCTACAATGTATAATAATAAATTGAAATAATTACAGAAGTACTGTGACGTCACACTGGATGCAGATACGAACTGGAAATGACCAATACAATTATTGTATATTTAAACAAACAAATATACATTGGTGGCCCAACAGACTTTGCAAGTTGCTAAGACCACGTGCGCCCCACGTGATACTCGCGCGCTTTACGTACGACGAGATTATTAACTCACTCGCTTCACGAGAAATAACATCCTCCAAGATCTGCATGATTCTTTAGATCACACAATAGCTGAATGGAAACTAAGAAATGGAATTTTGATATTTTAAATCACGAGTTAAGCAATGAGGTTGAGTACATGTACAAACCTGTACATGTATTATTTGAAAATTGTACATGTAGATGGGTGAGGACAAAACATGGACCAGGGGCCCATGGACCCCCTCTTTGGACCGGGTCCATGGACCACTTTCATGGACCAGGTCCATGGACCCCCTGTCATGGACTAGGTCCATGGACAGTTTTTTTTATTTTTATAAGAAGGTCTTGCACCAGGTCCAAGGACACTCAAAAACAGAAATAGTGTCAAAAAAAGATTTGACGAGACGCTGTCGACCAATGCTCACAATTGATCGCAAATATTTAGTTGTGCTCACATGACGTACACTCTGCTTGCACATGTGCAGTCGCAAGACTGTTATTAAAATTAAGCTATTAAATTCAAAAGTTATCACCAAGAGAGGAATTACACACTCCAGTACAAATTAGACTCGCATCACCCTTAGAAAAACAAGCTGGAGTTAAGAATTCATTGCTTTTAGAGCAATCATGACTGAGTCACATCGCAATTCTCCATAGTTGATGTAGCTTCAGTTTAAGCTACAATCCATGCCACTTCTTCTTCTTCAAGATCTGGAAATCACTATCCGTGAGAATTTATAATCGTCCTGCTAAAAGTGCTAAGGAGCTGGGCCCAGCGAGACAAAACATTGCAGGAAAAAGTGACATTCATGCACAAAAAGCAAGTGGCTTAATTAGAATTGTTCAGATCCAGGATGCACTTTGGAGAAATTAAACAACCTAAACCCTTTTAATCAGCCGCAATGAACAGCTTTACATTTTAAAAGAGGTAGAAAATCAATATGTGTTTCACGATCTCTCAGTATGAAATAAGCGGCAAAAATTCACATTTGCTCAGTCAAAAGGTTTTCCTCTGAAGCATAATCTGCCCATCAGAGAAAACAATTCATTGGAACAAGCAGCATTTTGGTATAAGGTACCGACCCCCCCCTTTTTTTACACTATGTATCACAATTAAACATTACTGATCAATCGAGCATTGTTTGTTGTTATTGTTGTTTTTTAACCTTTTTTTGCACTATTTCTATTTTTGTTCATTTCTCATTATTAAAAAAAACTGTCGATGGACCCGGTCCATGACAGGGGGTCCATGGACCCGGTCCATGAAAGTGGTCCATGGACCCGGTCCAAAGTGGGGGTCCATGGACTCCTGGTCCATGTTTTGTCCTCACCCCATGTAGATCATACAATCAGGTGAACAGAAATCCAAAAATATATGCATATTTTAATTCTTTGAAAATAAATTTATACTTTAAATTATTCTACATGTAAATAATTAGCCTAATACATTTAGAATCATGCTTATTATTATCCCAATCAATATTATGTTGCAGTTACATCTGCACAACATTTATTATCTGGTTCCTATAAGTAAACAAGTAATCTGACTGTGTTTTACCCTGATACACTGTAGATCCAACTATAGGGCTTCCTGGTCAACCACTTTCCCTGAAACAGATTTCTATTTCGTCATCCATGATCAACATCACATGGGATCCACCCATTGACATTGGTGACGGCATAAAAGGTTACACTGTAAAATGGCAGGAAGTAAATGGAACATCTCGCTCAATGCAAAAAGTTGTTCCACTTTTAAGTTTTAATTCAGCACCACTTACTGTTACACCATACACATGGTATAACATTCATGTGCAAGCCTACAACGACGAGGGGATTGGCCCTTGGTCTAAACCTTTTAGAGTACAATCAAGTGAATCAGGTGAGTTTAATACTAAATTCTGTTCACATGGTTATACTTTGATTGTTATTTTCTTTTGATCAAGATGCATGATTCTTGAGGCAGTTGAGGTTCTATTTCCACTTGTCAGTCACATCACATCTCAGAATAGACCATTAATTTACAGTTGTGGGTTTATTTCCCCAGCCGTTGAGTGAGGTTGAGGTTGATCTTGTGTCAATAAAAACCTCCTTTGTTTTATAACAATTGTGTTTAAAAAAAATACATTTGTAGTTTAAGAATAGCATTATTTGCATTTAAAAAAAGCAGGAAGGGTTGTATCTTTTTTCTTCTAGTTTAGATAGTATGTATTGTAATATTTTGACATGTCTTTTGCATACAGCTGTAGTTAGTATATTTGGTAATTTTAGATTATTATGTATTTATTTAACATAGTTTATCAGGTCCACATCAGCTTATGCTGCCATCTCTCAACGTGCTTTATCAGATAAAGCATGTATGTGTACATGTATGTATGTACGGTATGAATGCATGCAGTGGCTGTAAGTTTGTTCTATTTCAGTACCCTCTGCCGCACCAGCAAACTTCACTTTGAGTTCCAGTTCTCCTCTTTCACTAACTGCATCATGGGATGCCATACCTGTCAAGCAACAACAAGGAAAGCTGCTGGGTTACCAAGTCTTCTACAAGAAGGAGGGATCTGGCAATGAACAAAATGGGACTGTTGGACCAGATCAGCTCAATTACACAATTATTTACCTTGAGTTAGCAAGTTACTCTGTTAGAGTAGCTGGGTTTACTGCAGTCGGTATTGGCAATTCCACTGTGGTACTGACAAAAACGCCCAATGAAGGAGGTTAGGAAACGGCACATTTAAGGTTGCTGATGCATGTTATTGTTTTAAATTGACTTGATCAAACAACTGTAGTTATCTTAGAAGCTTAGATACATGTACAATGTTTGTATGCATCTTATTATTTTACTAGTTATAGTTGACTCTACAACTGCCCCAACTCTGTATTGAGTCCGTCATTGCAGCCTTGGTGTTTGTGTAGCTCTTTGAAATTAACCGTTCATGTTGAGGATTTTCACAGATAAACAGACAATAGGTGAAACGTAAAGCAGGAAACGCAAGATTTCATGCACTGAGTCATGTCGATCAGTACGCAGCGTCGATCAAAACATTCTCGGTGTTTCGACAATTTTTTCACACGCGTCCTAATCTAATTCATTTTATTAAATTTTCTGACTAAAACGGCATACATCAGAACAGAATTTAACTGTACCAGTTCCGGTAATTTCTTTAATTGTCTACCCTGTGAGCAGAGTCTACATTTTCGCGGTGTGAGCCGCTGAGCGAAAAGTACGACTACGCACTTCACTCACACTGCGAAAATGTAGCCTCTGCTCCTAGGGTATATAGAAACTACGTTTTACCTTGATTTACTCGTTCGCTTAGGAAAACTTGTTTGTTTAAATCGTTTCCAATCAAAGATTTTTGAATGATAGCGGAACTCCACGTGCGCGCGAAGCGCGCCCGAACGTAGTCTCATACCTAAGAAAATATGGTAATCTACCCACCTGAGAAATTATTTTTGGTAATCACATGACCTTACGCCCGTCTGCCCGCCCGCCGTCCATCATCACCACAGAAATACCAATGTAAAATAACTCAATCGACAGGTATGGCAACTCAAATGCAACTCGAGGTTGTTTTGGCGGGAAATCGCATAGCCACCCTCGTCTTGTGAAGCAGAGACAACTAAAGAGTCAATAAAGACGAAAACGGAAGGCGGAAATTGTCTCTGTATCCGTGTTGTCTAAAGTATTAAGCTTACATTAATTGTCATGTCCACAAATATGGAAATGTTGAGAAAGAGAAAGACAGAGAAAAAGAGAAAGTAGGCGACAAGCCGTTGAAGCCTAACGAGAAGAAGAGCGACAGAGAGCTAGCACGAGAGACAAAAAGCAAAGGAGATATTTTTTTGTTGGAAGAACAACATGAAAATTTTGTAGCGCCGGTGAGAAAATGAGAAGAGACAACTAGCGGCCACCAAGGTGAAAATGAGCGGGATTGAAAAAGGAGTGAACAAAAACACCTGACGTACGACATTCGACATTTCATCCATAAAACGTGTAACTAGAAAGTTTCTGGAGTTTTACGTTGTAGTCGTGCAAAACAAGGGCAAAGAAATGTACAAAAAAATGTGCTGCACGTGCAAAGTGGCTTTTTTGCTAATTAGACCCATTATCGTTTTTTCACCGTTCTCGTTGGCTTCGCCGCTTAGCATTACACGATTTTATATTTTGTTTGAGCAAACTATAAATATTATCGAGGCTTCGCTTTTAGCCCTGGCTAAATCTATATATTAAACTCGTGTCTCGAAAATCCTTTAGGTGCTTACCGTAAATGACCTACTGTGTAATAAATGCCTAGGGCGTCTATTTCTTTTTAGGGGTCCAAGAGGGGGCGTTTAATAGACAGGCGGCGTTTATTCTCATATTTACTGTAACAATCCCAACAAAATTAATATGCTTTCCGCGAAAATATCAAGAAGGTTTAAAATAGCGGAATATCTACCCCATCAATGGATAAGTCTAGGCCATCTAGAGATCCATATCGCTCTTTGAAATCCCAACATTGATGTCAGCATCCTCGCTCATTAGTCGAGCTTGCTTGAGCAGAGCGAGACTCTCTCTCCCTCTCTTTTTTTTTTGTTTCGCGGGCACCAATTTGGAGGCCATGCTCCCAGGCATTCCTAGCGGAGACCGTGGGAACTGGGGATCAGAATCGTGACGACTTTCATTGTATGCAAATGAGACTTGTGATGAGCATGCGGCTTATTTTCGGCGATGACTGAATTGACACATGTAAGTTGATGACGTTTTTCGCGCAAGCTGCTAGGATGCCTCCTCAGGATTTTGCCTTCTGGGCGAAATCCCTGCGAGGGCAATAAACCTGAGACAGAGCAGCTCGTTTTTCTGCTTTTTGATGCATGTTGTATGGTATTCAAAGGACAGGATGGACCAGTGGTAATAATAAATACTAATTAAACTATGTAGGAAGAATTTACAGTCTACTATTTTCAAGTATTTGCTGAAACTTCTGTTTCAGGAGAACTCTCAGACATAGTTGATGCAAAAACATTGGAAGATGGTATGGCCTGTAACTTTGAATGTTTTGTTATGTCATGTTACTTACTTTACACCCGAACAGTAATCTGGGACGTCAGTATGCAAATGCGCCCCGGCTGCCACCATTGGTCCATTTGTGAGCTTAATCCTTGGATAGTGTGATCAGTGAAGTGATTACAAATGTACATGTACACTGTAGAGGTACGTGTACATGCAGACTACACCATCTTTTCTTTTTCTATTAAACAGCTCCAAGTGCTCCCCCGGTCATCAATAAGGCAGAAACTACAGCTGAAGATGCTCACACTATCAGAGTCACATGGAATGAGATTGTCAAGAAAGACCAAAATGGTGTCATACTAGGTTACGTAGTGGCATACAATGTGAAAGGTCAACCTACACAGTTAAGCCTCAATACAACTGATACAAGTACAGTTATTGAAGGACTAAAGCCATACACAAGCTACTGCATTAGAGTGCAAGGCTATACTAAGATTGGTGCCTCAGCTTGGTCTAACTGTACCACAGTGATGACGTTACAATCAGGTGAGGTATAGTTCCTCAATTGTGATCAGTTTGAAAACACAAACCACAGTAAAAAAAAACTGTAACGAAACACAAACAAACAGAAAAGCCACCAGTGTTTGTTACAAGCTAAGGAATCCTTTTGTTAAGTTGAAAGGCAATTTTATTGAACCTAATAATGGCCTTTTAATTAATTTATAGGTCTGTGCGTATGTGTAGTTCTTTTTATTTTTATCTTATTGAATTCTTTAATTTTAAGTCCGTTTCTTTTGAATAGTTGCTTTGTTTTCCTGTCATTTCTCTATCAGCTAAATTGTAAATACCCCAAAATGGTCGGACGAAAATTTTGTCCGACATTTTTTCCATTCGAATATCTATCACAACGATGTTTTCGTAATCTGCAATTGTATTACAAATAATTATGTAGGGACCGTTCTTGGTGATTTTGTGATGTATTTATTTCATTGACTTAAGTTTTGGCTATGAAATGTGTGTATTTGCTCATACAAGCCAGTGCATGTATGTCAGCCAGTCAGAAAACTAGTCGAACGGTAGTGGAATGTTAGTACAATTTTACTAACTGAAGAGTTAAAACTGAACTTTAGGTCCAAGTCGTCCACAAGATTTTTCCGTGGAAGCTTCCTCATCTACTGCCATTAATGTAAAGTGGAGGGAACCAGCAGAACCAAATGGAGTTATACAAAACTATTTGATTGAATATGGAACAAGCCCAAACCATCAACTCACAGAGAAAGAAGTTGCAGCCCGCATATTTCAATACACCTTAACTGGCTTAGAAAAATTTACAACTTATTACATCAAGGTCAGGGGAAAAACAAGCAAGAGAGGGAATGCGTCAGAAGTATTAAATGCTACAACGTTTGAAGACCGTAAGTATATGTTTTTTTATCGCTAATGTACAGATGTCTTGAGTAGTATAGGAGGGACCGGTTACTCCGGTTTTTTGCGGAGGATTCTCATTAGAGTGCGGAGGAATAAATTAACGTCGCTGACGTCATAGGCTATTGTCTTGATCTCATGAATAAAATGCGCAGGAATCTCATTAAGATAAGGTCGTGTGCTATTTTAAGTTGGTTTAGGTTTTCTAGTTACTTTAAGGTCGATAAACGTCTTCGTTTTCTATTGGTTAGTTAGAAAATAAGAAAAGTTTTCATTGGTTAATTCATAGTGCCTGAGGAGTAAAGTCAAACTTGTCTCTGACTTAAAATCACTGAGACGTAACGTAATTATGCAAGTTCTATTTCCTGCTGCTGCGATTGTCCTGGTTCCGGTTCACTGATTTTTGGCAGGTAAATCGTGCATATTAATGAGGGCAAAGGCCAACTAGCTCTTTTTTACACTGCAAACAATGTTTTACTCACCCCTCTCCTTTTCATTTTTTTTTACTTTCCTCCTCCTCCACAATTTTATTATTTTCGTTCCTCAATTCCCTCCTCCTCCTCCTCCTCATTTTTATTGTTTTCCCTCCTCCTCCTCCTCCTCCTCCTTTTTGTTTTCCCTCCTCCTCCTCCTCCTCATTTTTTTTGTTTTCCCTCCTCCTCCTCCTCCTCCTCATTTTTATTGTTTTCCCTCCCCCTCCTCCTCCTTTTTATTGTTTTCCCTCCTCCTCCTCCTCCTCCTCATTTTTATTGTTTTCTCTCCCCCTCCTCCTCATTTTTATTGTTTTCCCTCCTCCTCCTCCTCCTCATTTTTATTGTTTTCCCTCCTCCTCCTCCTCCTCCTCCTCCTCCATCTCCTCATTTTTATCGTTTTTCCTCGAAAAGGCCAAGAGGCTAAAATCAGGCCTATATGGCCAAACTCAAATGTGATAGTCTGATTTTAGCCTTTTGGCCTTTTCGAGGAAAAACGATAAAAATGAGGAGGTGGAGAAGGAGGAGGAGGGAAAACAATAAAAATCAGGAGGAGGAGGAGGGAAAACAGAAATGAGGAGGAGGAGAAGGAGGAGGGAAAACAATAAAAATGAGGAGGAGGAGGAGGAGGAGGAGGGAAAACAAAAATGAGGAGGAGGAGGAGGAGGAGGGAAAACAATAAAAATGAGGAGGAGGAGGAGGAGGGAATTGAGGAACGAAAATAATAAAATTGTGGAGGAGGAGGAAAGTAAAAAAAAATGAAAAGGAGAGGGGTGAGTAAAACATTGTTTGCAGTGTAAAAAAGAGCTAGTTGGCCTCTGCCCTCATTAATATGCACGATTTACCTGCCAAAAATCAGTGAACCGGAACCAGGACAATCGCAGCAGCAGGAAATAGAACTTGCATAATTACGTTACGTCTCAGTGATTTTAAGTCAGAGACAAGTTTGACTTTACTCCTCAGGCACTATGAATTAACCAATGAAAACTTTTCTTATTTTCTAACTAACCAATAGAAAACGAAGACGTTTATCGACCTTAAAGTAACTAGAAAACCTAAACCAACTTAAAATAGCACACGACCTTATGTTAATGAGATTCCTGCGCATTTTATTCATGAGATCAAGACAATAGCCTATGACGTCAGCGACGTTAATTCATTCCTCCGCACTCTAATGAGAATCCTCCGCAAAAAACCGGAGTAACCGGTCCCTCCTATACTACTCACCACCACCACCACCACCACCACATTTCTATTGTTTTCCCTCCACCACCACCACCACCACCACCGCCACCACCACAATTTCATTGTTTCCCTCAAAAGGCCAAAGAGGCCAAAATCAGGCCTAAAAGGCCAAACTCAAGGAGGGAAACAATAAAAATGTGGTGGCGGTGGTGGTGGTGGAGGGAAAACAATAGAAATGTGGTGGCGGTGGTGGTGGTGGTGGAGGGAAAACAATAGAAATGTGGTGGTGGTGGTGGTGGAGGGAAAACAATAGAAATGTGGTGGTGGTGGTGGTGGAGGGAAAACAATAGAAATGTGGTGGTGGTGGAGGGAAAACAATAGAAATGTGGTGGCGGTGGTGGTGGTGGTGGTGGAGGTAAAACAATAGAAATGAGGAGGAGGAGGGAAAACAATAAAAAAAATGAGGAGGAGGAGGAGGAAAAATAAAAATGAGGAGGAGGAGAGAAAACCATAAAAATGAGGAGGAGGTGGTGGAGGAGGAGGAGGAGGGAAAACATAAAAAAATGTGGACGAGGAGGAAAAATAAAAATGAGGAGGAGGAGGGAAAACAATAAAAATGAGGAGGAGGAGGAGGAGGAGGAGGTGGAGGAGGAGGGAATAAAAAATTTGAGGAAGGAAAATAATAAAATTGTGGAGGAGGAGGAAAATAAAAAATGAAAAGGAGAGGGGTAAGTAAAACATTGCTTGCAGTGTAAAAAAGAGCTAGTTTGCCTTTTCCCTCTTTAACATACAAGATTTGCCCGCCAAAAATCAGTGAACCGGAACAAGGACAATCACAGCAGCAGGAAATAGGAAGTGCATAATTACGTTACGTCTCAGTGATTTTAAGTCACCAGTATACTTAATTAAATCCACCACATTTTATTCATGAGATGAGGACAATAGCTTATGACGTCATCGGCGTTAATGTATTCCTCCCCACCTTAATGAGAATCCTCCCCAAAAAAGAGGCCTAAAACATCCCTCCTATACTACTGTCTTGGTTATGCGTTTTTTGGTACTTAATCCTTGAAGCAAAGATTATTTATGGTACTTGAACAAACCCGACAGCTTAGGCAGTAGAGAACCAATTTGATTTGCACGAGGTCGCTGTTTTGAATCCTACCCGTACTACAGTGTGACATACGATCAGGGTATATATATAATGTTAGGATTGCTCTAATACAGACAATCGTTTGTTCCAACACGCGTGACTTCTATCCTTATGAACTGAACGTGACTCACCAAAAGTCAGATTGCAAGAGACTTGGAGTGGAGTAGAGTGGAGACTTTATTTGGAGAGGGTAACACTTGAGTTCTACTCTAAAAACTGATGTAAGCTCCATTCACACAATTAAATAACTGGATTCTTAAGTACGGGACCTTATAAAATATACGGTGAACCCTCCCTAACATGCACAACATTGATAGGGTCAAGTGTCCGCTTTACAGAGGTGCCTGCAAGGACAGCTTCGACTGCGCTGCAAATTATTTTGGAGAAATAAAAGGAACTGGCGCAAAAATGGATATTTAAATAGTGCTACGACAACAACATGTTTTACACCTCTGTTATTTATTCGTTTTCGTTCTGTATTTCTGCAGGCCCTGGTCCCCCAGGAAAATTTGTTGGTAGAGTCTTATCAGACAGTGTAATCTTCATTACATGGGAAGAACCTGTCAATGCCAATGGAATCATAAGATCTTACCATATCAGAGCTTATGAAACTAAAACTTGGAGAGAGGTCTATAACAGATATGTGACCAAGGGACCCCAAAAAGAAGAGAGTCTACTATCATCCAACCTTAAGCCGTTTACAAACTTTAACTTTACGATACAAGCCAGAACCATTGAGCTAGGAGAGATGGCTTATTTCACCGCAAAAACACAGGAAGGAGGTAAATTTAAATTATATTTGTGCATACCCTTGTACCCCACTTTTTTATAGCTTAGTTATTCTTTTTTATTCGTACGATTTTCCACGTCCACGGCCAAAGACGAATGTACTATTCCTTGTAGTTACTTGTATTTAATTTTGTTTGTAAACACATTCATGTATTCGCCCACAGAGGATTTTGGTGTTAACTCTTTCTCTGGAATTTAACAATAAATTGAATCAAAATAATGTTGAGGCCGGGGATGCTTCGTTCGAAAATAGACTAGTTTTCGCAACTAAGAATCGCCTTAAAACTTCAGGTATTTTGATGCGCGATTTGAAATCGCACTTTGAAAACGTGGCATGAAGAATTGTGTATCGAAAGAGGCATTATATTACATCAAATTCTTATCTGTCAATTTTCTTTAACCTTTAGTGCCAGGTAAGCCGGTGAAAGTCAGGGCCAAGTTAGAGGAAGATAATATTAACGTCTTATGGGAAGAACCAGTTAATCCTAATGGAATAATCACAGAATACAATGTGAGTGGAAACTATGTTTACATGTTCTTTTATCTATTTTTGTAACCCAATCCCCGCGTAATACCTCCTTTATGACAAGGCTTGTTCTCACTAGTAATGCATGGAATAAGAAACGTAATCAGAGGCATAGAGCCTCGTCGTCTTGTTAAAACAGAGTCCCGCTTCCTCTAACGTCTCTGTTGCGCACTATCTGGTGAAAACCAGATTGCCGGAGTCGCAAGGAGAAGCAGTGGAAGAAACCTAATCACCGTGTCGGCGACTCATGGGAAGGGGTATTGCGAATGTTTTTTTTTTTTTCACTTCTCCTTCCGACTCCATCCGACATTCTGGTTTTCACAAGACTGTAAATGGAAACGGTTTATCCTATGTTCACACTATACCGGATAGCTAGCTTCTCGTGCTTTCCGGTATAGTATGAGCAGCAACGGCAGAGAACTGGAACAAGTCGTTCACATGCATCAAGCCGTAGCGGTTAGCGGAGAGGGTTAAGTTCTCTACTTGGCTAAAGAACATCCTTCTTTAGCATTTTGCACTCAGTGGTTTTGTTTAACTTGAGGGATCTTTAGAGACGTGCCCCACTTTTCATTTCTTTTTCTTGATGATTTTTTTTCTACGAACTTTGAAACCGTTCTCCATTCATCATTTAGGAACAATTTCGAGAACAAAATTAAGTTGTAAAACATGCAAATGGCCTGTAAAGCGTTTTCACGCACATGGTCAGCAACTATGCAAATTTATTGCGACAAAAAAAAGCGCGCACAAAAGAAAAGAATTCAACTCCCACAGTAATTGTTTGGGACACCAAAATGGCCAAGGCTTGGCCCGGCCGGGCTGTCTTATTGGTATTTTGACACCAACATGGCGGAATTGACGTCATGTGAAAAAGCATAGAGGTATAGAGAGGAGATCTTATACTGTGTTTTGTTTGTCCTTTTCTGTTTAGGTGTATTTCAAGGGAAGAAGAGCGTATAACAATTCTGTCAAAGATGATTTAGTGTTTGTGGAATCTAAAACGTCTCGGTACAGGTCTATCACGATAGCCTATTTGAAACCTGGTACAGAGTACTCGATACATGTTACGGCGTTTACTAAGAAAGGAAAGGGTTTACCAAGTGACGCTGTTACATTAAGCACACCGGCAAAAGGTAATAGTCAACATCATCATTGCGTACTGGCAGGTTTTAAATAGCACTATGACACTCTGCACTGAATTTAGACCCTGACTGGTCATTATGCGGTGTTTCAGTACTTTGTAGCCTGATACCCTAGAGTGTCAGCCGTCTCCTTTACCCCAATCCCCACTCCTTCAAGGCGAGATACATGTACGTAGTGTGCGTTGCATTGATCTTATTCTGGAATAGGGGACGAGAAGAGTATACAACCATCCCCGAGAAGTGGAGGTGAATAGTGGTGGTATATCCCGGACTCGAAGCGTCGAGGTATATTTCTAGCGCTATGAACCGACCCTGAGGGGGGTAGTTGTTTTAGTATTTACCAAATCAGTTGGATAAAAATCAAAAAGGAACTTTTTCTAACTAAAAGACGTCACTTAGGTAGAGTTTGTTTACGTTTCAATTGACAGTGTTTCGGGGATCATTTTTTACGATTTTTGTTGCAAATTCAGCGAGAAAATGTTTTTCTACCGACCAGTAAACACCGACAAGCCAAATTTTGTCTCTTCCTTGTTATTTGTTGGCTCAGCTGCTTCATTTACCGCTAAAATTTTATCTTTCGAAACTGTCGCGAAGCAAGAAGCCATTTTGAATCCCGTCCCAAAACAGTGAATATCCAAGGATATTCCGACTTACGGGAGCCAATCAGAACGCGCGAAAATTGCTATCCACTGACTGGGTGAACACTGATTAAAAATGTCCGTTCGATAGATCAAACTAGTTAAGCGTTACTCGTAGTCCTGTAAAAGTCTTTTTAAAAAGAGGTTATTTGCAAGAAAATTCTTTTAAAAAATGATAAACAGAGCAGTTATTCCCTTACCTCTCCTCTTCGAGCACCCGTTACGCATTATATCTGCACACTTCTACGTCTCTGCTATATTGAAAAATGTGTCTGGTTTTAGTAATGATATCTTCTTACGGGGAGGGACATTAACCAATGGCCTAGTCCTTAATCTGGATAGTAAGGCATTGCAATTCATCTGGCCTTTCACCCAAAACCTGCCCAGCATGGTTGACCCACCAGGGACAAGGACCCAAGTGGTATAGTTTCCAGGGTCGTCAATGCATACAGACCTCCCCACCACGTTAAGGCGCAATAATTAGCAACCGCCGCCTGGTTAGCTCAGGGGGTGCGCCGGTCTGCTGAGCGGGAGGTCGCGGGTTCCCACCCCGGCCGAACACTCATGATCTTAAAATAACTGAGAACTATCTGTTCTTGTTGGACGTAAAAGAACCCACACCACTGTTCGAAAAGAGTGGGGGACGTAGACCCCGGTGGTGTGGCCATTCTTTACGGGTTGTGGGATTGGTTTGGGATGGCACCTCACATGGGACCTAGGTCCCGTTCGTGCACATTTCCTCTAGGCAGGCCTATGTCCAGAACAGCTGGTTAAAAAAATTAGGGAGCAGTAAAAAGTCTAAGTTAAATCTTATTATGTCTTAAAATGTTTCCCTTCTTCGTAGACGTCCATTTCCGCATGATGTACAGTGTATAAGCTCAATTACGTTTCATGATAAAAGTTCTTGTTGCCATCATCATTATCATTATTAAATATGATATGAAAATAGCCTCATTCAAAGATTTCAAACAGTAGATAGTACTTATGGCTGGTTGAAGTAAATTTTCAGTGACAAAAATTCTTCCCTCCTTCCTTAGACGTCATTTCGCGGGGAAATCATTCGTGGCATCGCTAAATGTGGGCTGTTTTCTCAGACTATTATCTAATAGGATAAAGCCATATGTATAAAAATGTGAAATAAAGCCTCCCCCACCTTCTTGGTCATTTTTATTTCTAGTCTATTAAATGACCTTTGCGTTTGCGGCGTTCATCATTTTTCTCTTGCAGCTCCTCCCCCACCACCACTCCCACTGGTTCTCAAGGGTAGCATCAAACCTACCGAAATGACAATCTTCTTGACGAAATCTTCAGATAGCAATGGAAGAGTTGTGTAAGTCTAATAGATTGTTTCAAAGTTTTTAACCACTCTTGTAACAAGTTAAAGTGACAGTGTCACTAAAAGATAACCCTACTTGTACATGTAAGAGATCTCCCTCAGACCGATTCTCGTAAGTGATCATGACCACGTTCTTTTCAGAGACTTTTCTCGTCGCGAAAGTCAAGAGAAATGTCTCCGACCTGAGACCGGCAGTGTATTTTTTTTCTGTTGATTTTTTTTTCGACCCGAGGTCTGCCTGAAACTCTATTGTCTAAACCAAAGGATATTGGTCTTTTTATCGATTCAGTTTTTCAAAATTTTGTCGCGCACTGATTTGTCTCATTTCCATAATTCTGTCTTCTACGTTAACAGATATGGCACTGATACCTTATTCATACAAAGCTTAAACATCTTTATGTGTGGTTGGTTGTTTAGTTCCTTACGTTGGGTCACCTTGTTATTTAAGTTTGTCCAAGACTTGCCAGGTCGAGGCAAAGTGAGCGGAGTGTAATTTTTAGGAGTTTCTAGGCGAGAGAAGCGAGCTTTTTAGGCCGTGAAGCGGCCGAGCGAGCGACAAAGTCGCGAGGAAGGACTTTTTTGGAAGTCTAAGTTTGTCGCGAAGTAAAAGTTATCTTGGATCCTACGTCGACGGTAATTTTTCAATTTTCTAGCAAGTAAGTCAGTCAGTCAGTCAGTCAGTCAATCAATCAGTCAGTAAGTCAGTAAGTCAGTCAGTCAGTCAGTCAGTCAGTCAGTCAGTCAGTAAGTAAGTAAGTAAGTAAGTAAGTAAGTAAGTAAGGTAAGTAAGTGAGTAAGTAAGTAAGTAAGTAAGTAGGTAACTTAAGTAAGTAAGTAAGTAACGCATTTATTTAAACACTATCAAATTACAGCAACGCTGATGTGGTGGTGTGTAAAACTAAAAACTAATGAGAACCATTTACATAATTAAGAATTAAAATAAATAAAACCGATACGTTTAAGACAATAAAAAAAGTGATATGTTTTAGACAAAAAAGCTAAAATTGGATGAAAAACCACAAATAGCTAGTATTAAAAATTGCATTGTATAAAATCTAGAAGACAATTTCTTTACTCAGCGTTTAAAATTTTCTTAACAGGTGATTTTTCTCGTTTCATCATTGTTCGACAGAAGCACTGATATTTTGAACTTACTTCTTGACTATCTTTTTCTTGGGGGTCGGCATGTTGAAACATAATTGATTTTTTAAACTGTACTGATTTGGTTTCATGCTTAACTAATAAGTGTTTTAGTGGGGAGAGCATGGGGTCGAAGTAACATGTGTGAGAAATATGCTCCGAAGGCTTCCATTTGATACCCTGTGAACAGGCTCTCTGTTTGGGGAAAGGGTGAAAAAATCTCGAGAAGAGGGAAGGGAAAGATTTTTTCACCGTATCCCCAAACAGAGAGTTTCGGTTCGCAGGCTGCCATTTGAAAGTGTTCAAAACGTCTTCAGCTAGTGTGCACCGGTCTAGACGGTAAATTATTTTAGCAGCTCTTACGTGGATGCGTTCAAGTTCGTGACACAATGTTTTGTTGCACCCCACAAAATTAGACCTTACGCAATGAATGGTAATATTACTTTGTGGTAGTCCAAGTCCAAGCGGGCGTCAACTTGTAGAAAATAAACTGATTTCAACAGGTTAACTTTCTGTGTGAACAATTTCGACAATTCAGAAACGTGTTTAGACTATTTAAGTCACATCGTCGTTTTAAGGGCATAAATTCTGTCTTGCCTGGGTGTTGTGTTAAAAAATGTTGCGAAACCAGTTCGTGACTGTATTCAAAATGAGGCGGCTACCACGTCAGGATTAGGACAATTACAATTACGTACATGGTGGTATATCGTCAGCATACATGTGCAGTTCACCATCACCGTCACTGCAATGTCTGGCAAATCATTATAGAAGAGAGAAAATAAGAAGGGACCGTGCACAGATCCTTGAGGGACTCCAAGCGTAACTTTACTTGAGCAAGAACAACAGCCATTAACAGTGGTGACTTGATGACGATCAACTTGCAACTTTTGAAGCAGCACATAATGAGAAATAGAATCAAAAGTTAGTCCAGGAATACGATCCCGACTACCATGTTGTTGTCAAGTGCTCTCTTCCAATCTTCGGTCAAATGTTCAGTACAATGATCTTTCTTGTATGCCCACTGATGTGGGTTACTAAGGTTGTTGCATTGTCAGAAATGTGAGACATGATACATGAAGCAACTGCTGACTCCATAGTTTTACCCGAAACGCTTAGCAATGAAATGGGGCGATAGCTGCATTAGCCTGTTTCATGATCCTTTTTATACATAGTGATAAAGTTGGCTATTTTACATTTGCAGGAACAACGTTGTAGTTCTAATTCCTCTAGCTGTTTTTCATTTTCTCACAACCTGTCGGTTAAATAAACATGTTTTGTTGGTGTAAATGAGACGTAAGTTTGTACTCCCTCGTTAAAGGCTTAAATGTGTATTATTTTGTTGTATTAAACTAGTATTCATGAAGTTGTAGTGGAAAAGGTCGCAACAGTCAGCAAACGGTCAACCTCCTCTTTACCAGAAACCATTCTTGGCTACAAAGAGGCAATGGCCAGTGGGGATCAATATTATATTGCTGCCAGATTTGAGCGAGATAAAGAACAGGTTCCTAGAAGGTTTGTCCTTGGTGATGGAGAGACCTATGGTGGTTACAATAATGCGCCATTGGAGCCGATGACAAAATACAAGGTGTATGTGAGAGCAGCAACTGAAGTTAATGGGGTAAGAAACAAAATAATAGGGACTTTAAGATCTGAGACGCGACGACTTCTAGAACGCGGTGGCTGATAAAGGACTGGAACTAGAACGCCGTCGTTTGCGCGCGAAAAGTAAAGTTAAGATCTCTGTCGCGATGAAAGACGACGCGACTGCAAACCGCTCTTTATCAGTGTGATTCTTCGGCAATTCTTTCGCAGAAATAGCCATGGCATCATTTAAGAAAGTCCAAGAAAAGCTTTGTTTGTGCTTTGTTCGATAGCATCACCTCCACTTCTTCGTTGACGCTTCGGTTTGTCATCGCTTTCATCCGCTGATGAACCTCTTTTCTTCGTCTCTGACAGATTCTCTATCGCTTTTAGTCTAACATCTTCCGCTTTAGCCCGATCGTATTGAAGTTTTTTGGTAGCTGTTCCCTGTGTTTCCTGAAATTCCGCTTCGCCACTTTCCTTCGACGCAATGATCATATCCAATAGGTTTTCTAGTTCCGTTGGCTCATCGGGAGTTATTCCAGTTGCTTTTTCCTCCGCGAGAAGTTTCTTCTTATGCGTGTAAACAAGGATTCCCACGTGGTCTCGTACTGATCGCTTATCAACCCTGAATTTCGGCACAGTGCATTTGTTCAAGGTGTCTGCTATACTGCTTCTTTGTGTTGACCCTTTCTTAGTTGTGTAGGGATTTACATTGACGACTTGTTTGCATAGAATGGCTTCATGATCATGTGTCCAAAACATTACTGAACTAGAGGGAGGCATAAAAACACACGCAGTTTAATAAAATTATACAAAATAATACAGGCTTAAAATTGGCTTTTAGCGGCAGATGAACGCAATAAATCCAGAATTGCAACGGTACAAGACACGAGAAGAGTATGCAGAAGACTCCTGCATTCACTATTTGCAGTTTTAGCTCGTGACTTACTTGAAAGTCTTGCTCGAAGTCGAAGTCGAAGGCGCTGCCATTTTGTAGGCTTCGTACACCTGAAAGAAATTCAAAAATAATCAAAATCCTTCTATCTCTGCGATCTAAAATGTCGCCAGAAATTACGTCCAATTATCCTAGAGTGCTGAGTTTACATGTTTAGGGGAATATATCGTCATTTAATTAAAGCACAGGAACAAATATACTCACGTTTTGTACAGAACGTCAAACTCGTAAAACCCACGTTCTCTACGCGACGCGGTGACACCAGGATGACCGCGTTAGCATGCGCAACATGTCTCCTCTTTGAAAATTTACTTCCGGTCGCGTCTTACAGCCGTCGCGTCTCGGATCTTGAAGTCCCTAATAATAATTTGTGGCGCGATCGTTGGGGCCACTTCCGGCAAAGACGGTCTTGCAACATTATTTAAAGAATCTTCTCCGCGCACAGGCAGTCTAGGAAGCCTCAGTGTCTTCTATTTGAGAAAGACTTAAACTACGTTCTCTTTGGTTTTCTTGTACATTGATAATATCTTCCAAAGTGACCTATTATTTAATTTTTTTAATATGCAGAAATGTGTTTACGGAGAGTCTGCTGGAATTACTCTTCCTCCTACCGGTAGGTTTCGAGCAAGAAAGAACGGGCGCGCGAGAGGGAGACACGCGAGGGAAGAGGGAGCCTTACGGGCAGGCGCTCCCCCTCCCCTCGCGTGTCTCCCTCTCGCGCGTCCGTTCTTTCTTGCGCCCACTACTTCTTTTTGGAGGCGTTTATAATCAATTAAACAAAGAGACAATGCTGTACACTACAATTTCTTGTGGATAGCAGTAAATCGTGTGATTATCATTTGACTTGTGTTGTGATATGTGTGGCAGAACTTGTTACACGATTATTAACTAATTATTACTCTTGCCTGCATTTCGGGGTCTCAAAAGGTATTTTATTTCAGTTGTGTCTTTGAAAGCCTTTTACAACCTCATTCCCAGGGCTTAATTTTCCCTCAGAAATTGGAGAAGTAAAAACCTGGGAACAGAGCTTGACTGGAGTATGATAGACTTTTTCTCTTTTAAGGATAGACTATTAATATTAACCACTAGGGACTTTAAGAACCGACAATACGGTGGTCTGGAAAACGTGAGGACCGAGGGTGGGGCTGGGGCTGGGGCCAGCACCGCGTTCTACGCGCGGGAAATATGTAGTTAAGATCAACAACGCGATCATTTAGACTAATATTCATCGTCTGGAAAACAGTAAAATGCTTTTCACCTTTCCCTACAAGAATGACTCAAAACTCATTTAAGACTTTACAGGAAGCTTTGCTCCTTAGTCTGGAAGGAAAGCTAATAGATGACGACGAATTTGCCGTGCTGTATGAAGAATTCATTCCACAAAACCTTCCGTTTCGCCACTGGGATTACGAAAAATTTTCCCTCGTAAACAAAGACCCCGCAGAGTGTAAGGCAGACTTCTGATTTGGGAAGAGTGACATCGGCATCAGTGCTGGTGGATGTTTTACAGATGCCTGATACCTTCACATGTCCAAATGGTACCGTTTGAGATTCAACAGAAGGACTTTGTGTTATACTAAAGCGCTGTAGCTATCCATGTAGGTTGTCTGATATGATTTCTATTTTTGGTCGATCAGTACCCGAGCTCAGCATGATTAACAATGAAGTCACTAAATGGATGTACAATGTTCATGGCCATAGGATTACCGAATGGAATCATTTCATGTCTCCTAACCTACCGCAAACTTACTCTGAAGCAATTCATGACAAAGGTGCTGCCTTGGACAACTGTTTCGGCTTTGTTGATGGAACAGTTCGTCCCATATCAAAACCAGGAGTCATTTCCGCGTGCAACAAAGGAAATAGGAGACGTCTGCACGGAGGTAATCAATCAGAGAGCTGTTTATAATGGCCACAAGCGTGTTCACGCTCTTAAAGGGGCTATGTCACCCCACACGCATGCGCGAGCCAATGAAAGCAAACTTGAAAAAGTTGGCGTGTCTTTTTCAAGTTCTGTCGGAGATTTTGGAAGGCTGTTTTTATCTGTCTAAATCTCAGCCATCGTTCGATAGTTAGCGAAGTTTTGTATTAAGAATCGTTCTATGGTGATTACAGGATAATTTTCTGGCGTTATTTTGAAATTGTTTGCCTGTGGAATGTTTTTACGTGGATTTACTGTGTCCTCTTATCAGCGGCCGTTGTAATGACGGCTACTCCACAATGAGTGATGGAATCTTTGATGGAATCTTCCCTATAGTTCACAGAACCTTTCTACTGAGTTATTTTAGAGGTTGCTGGCTCTTGGATCTTTCTTGTGCTCAAAGTATGTGGACATATAATGAAGCGGCTATCGAGTTGGCGGCGGCCGTTTTTGGTAAACGATTACAAGAGCACCAGGACATGAGTTTCGTGACCAAACTAAACTCCTGGCGAAGGAAACATTATAAAATTCGGCTAGATTCCTTCTTGTACTTATCTGGATTCACGGCAAAGATAAACACGACCGTTTGCTCGTCCAGATTGTTCTCAACGGACTTAGAGAGGCGCCTTAGTACGAGTTAGATCCTGTAAATGCCATGTTTTTGAACTGTTTGTGTTCGAGCATATTTTTGGAAAATAGCAGAGTTTGCTTTCCCTTTTTATCAACGGACTGCTTATAGTGGAGTAGTATACCAATGATGCTCGGTTCTGTTTTTCTCGACGTCGCAGTGATTCGGCACGATCGAACAATTTTGCGCGATAATGTATGTTTCTCTAAGATCAAAACAAAGACTTGATGTCTCTTGTTCTATCAGCATCTAAATTATAAAATCACTAGCGACAGACAAGTCTAATTGTTAATGATTTGAAACAGTCTCGGTCTTTATCTTCGGTCTAGCGTCTTTTGTAGCTCGTTTGTAAAATACAACTTCGATTTATGTTGTTGAATAAGACAATATGCTGTTGTTGAATTAAGAATTTGTTCATGCTTAGCGTGCGTATATCGAGTTATGGATGCACGCGGGAAGTTTGGAGAGCACGAAAGATGCGTAAGAGTTGCACGAGGCGATAGCCGAGTGCAACTCTAGCTTCTTGAGTGCTCTCCAAACTTCCCAAGTGCATCCATAACTCGATATACGCACAGCTAAAAGCATGAGCAAATTCTTTTATAACATAGCTGACAAAAATGCTTGCTTTTTGATTAACTGCAAAATTCTCGTAACCCGCTACACAATAACAAACGGTTCTATTGGCTGATTACGAACACGCCACAATCGTCTAGTTTGAATGAAAATGTTCTTTCTGTAAAGCTGAGAAAGAAAATGTGCTTCTTTTTTCGTTAACGATCAATGGAAACTAAGCAGAAACAAAGGTAAAAGAGTCTTAAAGTTCACCTAAAGTTAAAATACTAACATGTTCGTAAGAAGTCGTGGAGTATGGTTTGGATTTGCTGAAAAGATGTTTACGTTTTGCTCGGCGAAATCCAGAAAACATGTTTTTAGCGAAGACGACTGTCATCCTTCTTTAAACTTATATTCATTTACGAGCATTGGCTGGTCATTAGGGTTTCTTGAGAAGACATGGCAGCAGTTGTTTTTGTGAGTAATAAATTTATGTCTTCTTGTGTAATTTGTGTTGTTATTGCGAGAGAAATTTTCCTGCTTCAGTCGGATTGTCCGGAGATAACAAAAGTGCGTAACAAATTTAAAAACAACAATAAAAAAGGAAATTTTACCCTTTTAAAAATGTTGTTGATGACCAGTTGGTGTCTGTTCTGTTCCCAGTGAATGTCTTTCGGCCAAAATTTGCTGCAGCTGGTCTTCCGACAAATTTGCGAAACGCGCAACTTGCGAGTTTTTTTAAATTCGGCTTTATTTTTGCTACTTGTTGGATCAGGACATAAAAGGTCAATGCCGATACAAAAATTGGGCAGTTCTTCGCTGGTTTCTTCCATATTTTAAAGAGAAGGAAAGCTGCACTGCAGCTTAAAAGACGACAACTGCACTTTGCAGCCAGATAAAAAAAAAAATGCTCACGTCATCTTATTTACGCACGGGCGTGCGTAAATAAAGATTTTGTTCATAGTGGCTCAATAGGACTTATATAGGGCAAGCACGCGCGCTATGTTATAATTTTTGTTTGCGCACTATTTTATGAATGGCATGCGTTTCTACCCCAAAACTACAAGTAAAATTGTCGTCACAATTTTATTCTTGATCTAGCATAACCAGAGAAGAAACGTTCCGTAAATTCTATCGAAATTTCCCTTATCTAAACCCATTTCGCTTGTTAACCTCTCTAAATTCGGAGCCTTGGACGTGACAGAGAAAATGGAGAAAGTCACGCGTTAAAAACAATAGAATTTTGACAGTTGAAAGTAATTTGCATAACCTCAGAGCGCACATGGAGAAAGTCACGCGTTAAAAACAATAGAATTTTTTCAGTTGGAAGTAATTTGCATAACCTCAGAGCGCATGCTCTCCAGCTGACATAGCCCCTTTAAGAGCGGATGTCAGTAAATATCGACCTTAAGTCTACAAAAGTGAAAAATCGAAAATTCTCAAAAAAAAATTCACAAAGTAGCGCTAGGTAAGCTGTTAACATAAATGTAATTTTTAATTCGATCCGATAATTATTTTCGACGTACGGGGGGGTTATTGGTTTCCCGGCTCTCGGACCGGGTTTTGCAGGCCCGAGACCATGGGTGCTTACCATTTGACAGAAAAATCCGGTTGGGTTGTCGAAAGCATAATGGTAAGCGATTTACCAGTTTACCGCAGAATTGCCACATCCGTTACGGTTTGAATCCAAAAATGGGGGGAATTTG